CAGGGAGCCCGATGCGGGGCTCGATCCCAGGACCCTGAGATCATGACCTGAGCCGAAGGCAGTCGCTTAACCAACTGAGCCACCCAGGCGCCCCTGGTAGATATATTTGTAAATCATATATGTAATAAAGGACTTGTATTCAAAATATAGAACTCTTTCAATTCAACAGTAAGACAAAGAAACAACCCAAATTAAAAAAAAAAAGATTTAAAATAGACGTTTCACTAAAGATATAAGAATGGCGGACAAGCACATGAAAAGATATTCAACAACATTAATCATTAGGGAAATGCAAATTAAAGGTAGAATAAGATACCATTTTATACCTAAAAGAATCGGCTATACTAAAAAAACAAAGTAACAAATATTGGTGAAGATGTGGAGAAACAGAAACCCTCATCCATTGCTAGTGGGAATGTAAAATGGTACAGGGAATTTCTTAAAAAGTTAAACATAAATTTGCCATACAACACAGCAATTCTTCACTCCCAGGTATCAATCCCAGAGAAATGTAGACATGGGGTGCACACAAAGATTAGCATGATCTTTTTTTTTTTTAATTTATTTATTCGAGAGAGAGAGAATGAGAGATAGAGAGCATGAGAGGAGGTAGGGTCAGAGGGAGAAGCAGACTCCCTGCTGAGCAGGGAGCCCGATGTAGGACTCGATCCCGGGACTCCAGGATCATGACCTGAGCCGAAGGCAGTCGCTTAACCAACTGAGCCACCCAGGCGCCCAAGATTAGCATGATCTTTGACATGAGAATGTCCAGCACATTTTATAATTAACAGCATATTGTATAATTCTATTTATATGAAATGTGTAGAAAAGGCAACTCTGACAGAAGACAGATTAGTGGTTGCCTGGGGCTGAGAGTGGGAACAGGGAATGACTGCAAACAGCAGAAATCTTAAGAGGGTAATGGAAATGTTCTAATGATTGTGTTGATTGCACAGCTGGGTAAATTTTGCAAAACTTACTGAGAACAGGAGAAATTGCTTAAAATGAGTGAATTTTATAGCATGTAATTTATACCTCAATACAATGTCATTTTTAAAATGACATTTATACAATGTTAGTCATTGCAGCATTGTAAGAGCAAAATATTGGCAGTAATATTTTGTCCATTAATAGAGGCCTGATTAAATAAATCATAGTGAGTCTGTGCAATGTTGTTGCATTAAAAAAAAAAGGCGCTCCTTTACTTACTGGTATGAAATAATCTTAAGTTTTATTAGGTAAAAAGTGCAAGATGTATAGTATGGTACCATTTGTGTGAATAATAGGGAAGGGAAGAATAATGTGTACTTAAGAGTTTGCTTATGGAAAAAAAAGAGAGAGTTTGCTTACGTATGCCTAGAATACCTCTGATTTATCATACCTTATATACCTAATAAAGATACATAAGAAACTAGTATATTGTCTTTCTCTGGAAAGGACAACTGAATGGGTGGGGTTGGAGGGGGAAGGAGACCTTCATTGTATATTTGAACCATGTAAATTATGACTTATACAGAAGGTAAATAAAAATTAGAACTTTAAAAAAAGTAACATTCGAATAGAGGGGGTTATTTGACCTTTTCAGTTTTCTTTTACAGAAAAATTACCTCCCAATAGGTGGCGCTCCTGCAACACCATACATATTTTTACTTTACTTTTAGTTTATTTATTTTGAGAAAAATCCAAATTTGCCCTTGATGGGCTTTTCTTCTCTACTTGTCACCTTTGGGAAACTTGAATCTAGATGTAGGGCTGACCGTCTCTTTGCTAGGAGTGCTCCAAAACGTATTGCCATGTTTCTGAGAACCATTCAAAGGGAGAACACCTGGATTGAAAAAAGAAAAATTGGAATTGGTTCAGAAAACCAAATAATGCTTGGGTCCTGTTTTCCTGATTGAAACTTGACTGATTGAATCAGAACTTCTGATTGATTGACTGGTTGATCAAAAGGTTAATTATAGGTCAGTGGTTCGTAAAGAATGCTGATTTTGCCCCAGAGGAGACACTTGAAATATCTGGAGATATTTTTGATTGTTACAACTGGGGATACTACTGGGATCTGGTGGATTGAGGCCAGATATGCTGCTAAAAACCCTACAATGCACAGGACAGTCCCCTCATGACAAGGAACTATCAGTCACCCACCCTCTCCTAAGCGTATAGCTGTTTGGAAAAAGGAGATAGACTTGGCAACAGATGGGAAGGCAGGTAAAGGAAAGGTGTCCCCCCACCCCCCCCCGAGAGAGTGAGCACTGGTGGGGGGAGGGGGAGAGAGAGAGGGGGAGAGAGAATCTTAAGCAGGTTCCGTGCTGAGCGGAACCTGCTCAGCACGGAGCTGAGCTCAGTGCGGGGCTCGATCTCACAACCCTGAGATCATGACCTGAGCTGAAATCAAGAATCAGACACTTACCCTACTGAGCCACCCAGGCGCCCCAGGAAAGGTAATTTCTTAGAATTGGTGTAGAAGGACACACCTACTTTGAGTCCTGAGTTCAGTTTTTCCTCAATCGCTTTCCTTCAAGGTGGCCGTATTGGTCATTTTCCCGATCTCTGAGGGGCTAGAAAGGACAGCACAGTCATAAACTCATTTTCCCTCCTCCTCTGTGAATTAATTTGATGCATATTTATTGAATGCTTTTCATGTGCAAGGCTTTGGAGTGGGTGCTTCACGGTCCTGGGAGTGGAAAGAGGACACGGAAGGTGGAGGCTCTGTATACAGTTTTTTCGTGTGTCCCTCTCTCTGTGTTCTTCAGCTTTTTCTCACTGGATCCTGACCTCAGTCTCTCTCAACCTTTCTCTTCATTTCATCCATTCTACCCAAAGTGTAACTATGTAATCATCTAGTTTGCCCTAAGCAGTTCCTTATCTGTATAGTATCCTCTGAATAACTTGTCCCCCATCCCCCAATTGTACTACTAATTATAGCGATGTCTCTTTCATTCCCCCTTCCCTTACCTGGTAAAGCTGGTCATCGGACAACAGAGTCTGCTTGTCTGAAGCTACAAAAAAAAATAAAATACGCAAGGTAGAATGGTTAAGAAATTGGGGTATATTCACACACCGGAGCACTACATAGCAATAAGAGTGAAATACATCTACATACAACAAGGGGGAAAGATCTCACAGGCATGTTTTTTTGAGTAACAGAGGCACACACACAAGAGTACTTCTGGAGTCCATTGACATAAGGAGTGAAAACAGGCAAAATTGATCAACGTTCTTAGAAGTCAGGCTAGTACTCGCTTTGGGGGATAGGTACAGGCTGGAATTGACCACAAGGGGGACATCTAGGGTGTGGGTAATATTCTCTTTCTTAACCTGGGTGTTGGATTCATGGATGTGTTTGCTTGTTTAGCTGTATGCTTGTCATTCATGCATGTTTCTCTCTGTAGGTTTTAGTTCAGTTAAAGAGTTTTTTTTTTAAATCAGAGGAACCGGAGGAAAATCAGAGGGAGGTGGAACTCGAGACAGGTAATTATGCTGTGGACACACCAGTGTCCTTTTCACCCGATTGGGCTAGATGGCAATACATGCCCACCTCATCTCTTCTATTGGGTCTATTTGGTAGGAAGGAAACTCAGGGTCCCAGGTAGTCTCATCTCTTACTGAGGAACATTCTTTTACCTCTTGACTGGCGAACTCCATCCTGTCCAGCAATGAAGTAAACCCCGACAGCAAGGAAAGAAATGCTGATGATTTCAGCGAAGACAAAGCCGGATACAGTGCCTACATTCAGTTCAATGCAGTTCTGACACACTGTGGGGAAAGGGAGGGACAAGCCTCCGTCAGGGTGTGAAAGTGGTTCTCCTGAATCTTTTACTATTGCCTACACGTGCTAATGCCACCATTTGGGGTAGCAGATTCCTCTCTCTGTGCAAGGTATGGTAAGGGAATTACCTGGGAAGATCCCTGGACTAAGAATGCAATACACTTGATATCCCTCTGTCCCCCAGGCATCCTAGGGAAGCCTATATAGTCTGACCACCAGGAACTATGTGAAATAGAAGGAAGATCAGATCCCTTTCTCCGTGGTCAGCTGCCTTCTACATTTCATTGCTGCTCACCTTATAATCCCCTCTCTCTCCCTGAGCTACCCCAACTCAGTTTATATAAATAGCTGACTGCTCCAATCCATGAAGGCCTATCCAAAATTAAACCAGGCTTTACAGGACCAGTTATGCTTTTCCAAGAAGATGGGGGAACTGTCTTGTTATATTCAAAAAGAGGCATGCTGAGATTAAGAGAATGAGAACCACTGAGTGTCTCTTCCCACACTCACCAGGGATAGGAAGCCAAGCCCACCAGAACAGCAGTACTGCTTAATTGGACAACAAACAAACCGAAGGGGATTACATACTTCTGTAATACACTTGGAGTGGTTTTGAAATATTCTTTGATCCTTGACATTGATATATCCCTTGAGGGTCCTTGATACTGCTTCCCAGATCAAACTTGTTTTTACGCGAGGAAGTAGTTGCCTTCCCGTCTTTAAACCATATGACATTTGTGTCTTGTGAGTCACAAATCAGAAATACCGAACCATCTTCTCGATTGCCATCTACTTTTACCACAGGAACTTCTGAAAAGGGAAAAGCCACCGTCTTTTTTTTTTTAATGTTTTATTTATTTATTTATTCATGAGAGTCAGAGAGAGAGAGAGAGAGGCAGAGGCAGAGGGAGAAGCAGGCTCCCCACCCAGCAGGGAGCCCGATGCGGGACTCCATCCCAGGACCCTGGGATCATGACCCGAGCCGAAGGCAGACGCCCAACCATCTGAGCCACCCAGGCGCCCGAAAAGCCACCATCTGTTAAGGATCTTTCGTCTGAAATTTTCCCTGCCCCAAGGTATCACAACAAGACCATTGTAGTGGTGGTTCTCAAACTTTAATGTGCACGTGGACCATATGGGGAATTTGCTGAGAATTTCAGATTCTATTTAGTAGTTCTGGGAAGGAGATGAAATGGGGCATTTCTAACATGATGCCAGTGGTGTTGGTTCATGGGTCCCACTTTGAATAATACCTAGCTGCTGGGGTCCTGTTTCTACTCCAAGAACTAGAGAGTTAATTGTTTGGCTACAGGAAAGGTGCCCAAAAAGGTCATGACTGGCCACTCATTTGGTTGACAATGAGAGGTTTGCTATTATCACTTATCATCCCATCCCTTCTGTCACTCAGTCCTATAGGACTATTAGCATAGGAACCATATTTCCGTAGGTTTTCTCAGTGTTTGAGGATGTAAAGAAGCCATTCACCCTACCTTGTTTCTTCTGGGCTGTAGTACCTGTAGAGACAGAAGAGAGACAGAGGATCAGCTGGGCATAGAGTTGTCCAAATGCCCTGAGGTATCATTTCCTTGGTCATTCGAGGCCAAGATAGATTAGATATCCTAGTCTCGGAGAGCGGATAGTATCTACTTACTTCCCTGGGTTGTAGCCTAAATCACCAAATTGAATTCAGGGTGTTGTATAATAAAGAATTTGTCTGGTCTTTGTCATGGATTCCCAGGAGGGAGTTTCTAAACCCTTGGAATTTCATGAGTGATAGGAGTGTCTTTTTTATTCTTGGTGGGCTTTTTTTTTTTTTTTTTAAGATTTATTTATTTATTTGAGAGAAAGCACGAGAGAGCACATGAGGGGGAGAGGGGTTGAAGGAGAGGGAGAGAGAGAGAAGCAGACTCCCTGCTAAGTATGGAGCCCCATTCACCCTGAGATCATGATACGAGCCAAAATCAAAAGTTGGATGCTCAACCACCTGAGCCACTCAGATGCCCCTTGGTGGGCTTTTGGACCATACATGAATTTGTATTACGAGATGACTCAGGATGGGGCTGGTCAAGACCCATGTAATCTGGGAATTTGAGCCCTGGGAGGGGAAGGGAGCTGGAGATCGAGTCCAGTCACATGGCCAATAATTCAATTATACCTATGTCATGAAAGCCCAGTAAAACCTCAGTGGAGGGGCGCCTGGGTGGCTCAGTTGGTTAAGTGTCTGCCTTCAACTCAGGTCATGATCCCAGGGTCCTGTGATCGAGCCCTGCATTGGGCCCCCTTCTCAGTGGGGAATCTGCTTCTCCCTCTCCCTCTGCCTGCCACTCCCCCTGCTTGTTCTCTCTCTCTCTGTCAAATAAATAAATAAAATCTTAAAAAAAAAAAAAACAAAACAAAACTCAGTGGAGGGGCCCCTGGGTGGCTCAGTTGGTTGAATATCTAACTCTTGGTTTCAGCTCAGGTAATGATCTCTGGGTGGTGAGATCAAGCCCCGTGTTGGACTTTGTGCTGGGCGCAGAGCCTGCTTGAGATTCTCACCCTCTCTCTCTGCCCCTCCCCCTGCTCCCTCTTTCTCTTAAAAAAAAAAAAAAGTCAAGAAAAAAAAAAACCTCAGTGGAGCTTCCTGGTTGGTGAATGCATCAATGTACCAGGAGGGTGATATATTCTGATTCCACAGGGAGAGGGCACAGGAGGTCTGTGTTCAGGGCCCTCTCAGACCTCCCTTATGCGTCTCTTCATTTGGAAAATCCTGATTTTATTTTTTATAATTAAACCGTAATAATAAAGGGGTGCCTGGATGGCTCAGTCATTAAGCGTCTGCCTTCAGCTCAGGTCATGGTCCCGGAGTTCTGGGATTGAGCCCCGCATTGGGCTCCCTGCTCAGCAAAGAGCTTGCCTCTCCTTCTGCCCCTCACCCTGCTCGTGCTCTCTCTCTCTCTCAAATAAGTAAGTAAATAAATAAGTCTTAAAAAAAAATCTGAACTGTAATAGTAAATATGGCGCTTTCCCGAGTTTTGTGAGTTGTTCTAACAAATTGTCAAATCTGGGAACCCTCCAGATTTGTACCCAGTTTGTCAAAAGTGTAGGTGGTATAGGAACCCCTGAACTTGTACCTGGAACTTAAAGTGAGGGCATTTTTGTTGGGCACAGTACCCTTGACCTGTGGGGTCTGATGTTAACTCCGGAGGGTTAGCATCAGAACTATGCTGCAATATACATAAAGGTATTGCCTGTTACAGTCTAGAATGCTCTCTTTTTTTAGCAACTAAAGCTCTGGCAAAAAGTGGGTTTACACTAACTAAAGACTTCTAGAATCCTCAGCCTTGGTGATCCATTTTTTGTAGGAACCCTGGACATCCTAGGGGAGGTAGCTAGCTATTCGATAGCCCTCAAATCTGTCTCAAAACTCAGAGTAGTAGAATTGCATTGGTCGACGTACTACAGAGAACTAGCACCGGAATTCAGCTCAAACTGGATCGAATGCAGACATTTACCATGCATGTAAGCATGGTACCTGGCATGATTAAGCGATGTGAAAAGACAAGAGTGGAGATACAAAGAACTAACTCGCTGCTTCCAAAGAGTTTACAATGAAGTAGGAAAAATAAACACACGTGTAATTAATATAACAGAACTTAGAAATTATCTTTAGTACTCATGTGAATGCATTTGAAAGGGGCTAGAAGCTATTAATGTTGCCCCAGGGTCAGGGACAGGGAAAACTTAACAGAGAAGATGACATTTGGTTGGGCCTTGAATGATTAGGTATTCACCGGACAGAGAAAGGCATCCTGGGGAGAAAGAATAGTTGGGCAAAGACACAGGTTTGGAAAAGGACAGAGAGGTAGTGTGTCTAGAGGTGGAGTGTGTGATGGGGACAGATGAAGCATGAATCAAGGTACGAAGGGAAAAACAAGTGTGATGGAAACAGTCGGAAGAAGTCAGTTGTTTTAGAACCTCTTGCAGGACTGAACCGATTATTAATAGTACCTAGCATAGTGTTTGGAACATGGCAGGAGCTTTATGTTTGTTGAATGAGTGCATGAATGAATGAATGAGTGAATTAAAAAAAAAAAAAAAAGGCAAGGCAAAGAGTTAAGCAGATTTCTCACCAGCGGTTTTCCCTGACCACCTGATCACCATGGGAGGAACAAAGAAGCTCCTCGTTCTAACTGATTCTATAGGAGAGAGGGTCCCACTGATTGCTGACACCCTTTAATTTTGCTTCTCTGAGTCTTCTTTCTTTTTAGGATTTGAGGGCTCATGTATCCAAATTTCCTAGGTTGACTTGTAAGAGGACAGAGCCCACAGGAAGGAGGCATCCTCCAAGTTCACACAGCTCATAGGTGGCTGAGCTGGACCCAGAGCTCAGGTTTCTGTTGCTCTTTCTGCTATATCTATCTGCCTCACACAGGCTTTCAGCCCTGTCCCTCCACCTGTGTGGTCTTTAGTGGCTCTTTTCCCATTTCCTGCAGAAATCATTCTAAACTCTCACTATCCTCCTCAAGTCCCCCACTCAGCGATCACCCAGCTCAGTTTCAGCAAGTGACATCGTCTGCCACTTAGGTCATTGAGAACATAGATGCTGTAATGACCCTCTCCAGCTTCCTGCCCATCTACACGCCTACCCACAGCCAAAGCCATTTGCACTTCATTTCTCCTCATCTCAGAGGGTAAGTTTGCCTTCTCCTCTGTGTCCTTGACCCCACTCTTGACTCCATCCTTTCAACATCAAGTCCAGGAACTTACTCTCTCTGTTTTCCTTTAGCCTAGAAATGTGCTCACATTTCTCTCACACTCAAAAATATTTCATCTTAGATCCAGTTCCTTTTCTACTTACCCTCAAACTCTCTTCTCATCCAAACGTCTTTAAAAATAGTCTATACTGGGTGCACTTTATCACCTGCCCTCACCTTCTACACATTTCTATTCAGTTTCCACTCATACTACCCCATTGAAAGTGTTATAAATCATCCATGGCCTTTATTTTGCCAAATACCACAGGCTTAAACTTTTAAATATATTCTTCTATCAGCAGGACGTCTCTATAATATTTCATTACTGGCGATCCTTTCCTTCTGGAAGCTTTCTACTCCCTTGGTTTCTATGGTATTGCACTCATCTGATTATCCCAGCTCTTTGATCGTCCTTTACCTCTTTTCTGAGATGTTTTTCTCTAACTACCCTTTAAAGGGTAATACCCTCTCAGTTCAATCCTCAGCCCCTCTTCCTCACATCTCACGTAGTACTTGCATGATTTCAACAACTTTCGTGGTTTTAGCTTCCCCCAGTGTGTGGAGAACGATTTCTAGTCCAGATTCCAGACATCGACCCAGTTCATCCACTTCCTGCTGTTTATTTCCAACAGAATAGTCGTACAGGCATCCTATATTGCACCTGATAGTCTGGTGACACTGAAGCTTCTTTCTCCAATTAGACTATAAGCTCACTAGGGCAGAAGGTTTTATTCATCCTTATATCCTCCTAGCCCATCATGTAATAGGATCTCACTCATATTTGTTGACCAGTTGACCAACTGACCAACTGAGTGAGTGAATGCCTTATAGGTCTCCTCCTAACTCCAGCTCTGAGTTAAGGAACACATACTTTTTCTTTTCAGGTTCCTGGCCTGTGTCCTTTTGGGCTACAAGCAACCTAAGATGGCGGCATCCGGGTCCTCCCTCTAGCCGGTAAAGTCTTCTGTTTTCATTTCTTAAGAGACAAGGACCCCAGCTCTCCCATGGGACACTGCTTCTCTCTAGCACAGAACAATAAGAGGCTTCATTTTTGCCCTTCCTTCTCAGAATTCTAGTGCAACAGCTGAGGTAGGCTTGAGCTTGGAGATCCCAATAGCCTTCCTCTCCCGGTAATGATCTCTTCCCCTGAGCCTTTCTCCGGACTGCCAGAACCCCGTACCTTGAAGAAGAGTGACAGCTAAGATGAGGCCAGCCAGATACTTCCCCGGCTCCATGTCAGTCTCTGCCTTTCCCCCCGAAGAAGCGCTAAGCAACTCCCAGCAGCCAGCCTGCCTTAGAGCAGCTAGTCTGGCCCCGCCCAGCATCATTCAGGCTGGGGCCCCTGAGAGAAGGCACGAACCCGGAGCCACCACCCTCTACTTCAAATGTGGGCAGCGAGGGGCCTCAGCGAGGCTGCAGGTGCATATGTATCTTGCTTTCTGTGAAGGAGTAGAGAATGGGAGGTGGTGGGAGGGAAAGGGAGAGAGTGATGGATCCCCATCTCAGAGACAGCTTGCACAGAGAAACCCCTTGGGTTCTGGGTAGGAGATGGCTTGGGCCCATTTCTTCATGAGAGGGGTAAACATCTCTGCCACCGCTGGTTGCTAGGACGTCAGCTGGTTGTTGCTTGTCGCTAGGACTAATGAATTTAAGTGAGAACACTCATGTGTGCAGGGCTGGAGCTCTGAGCAGAAAACCACCACAGTCCAGGCCCTTGTTCGGGAATTTTTCACTGCTCTTTTGAGACAAGATCATCAAAAATGTGCCTGCCTGGACAAGAATAGGTAGGACAATTGCAAAGAGATAAGCCCTACATTTCCAGGGGCCAGAGCCTGAGCTGAGTTTCCAGGATCTTAGGCCCCTGTCTTCCTCAGCTGGTCCATCAGTGAGTCAACAAAAATCTGCAGACCTCTCGTTATGTGCCAGGCACAAGCCAGGTGGTGGAGCAACAGAAGGCAGCAAGACATATGCTATCTCTGCCCTCAGGTAAATTACAGTCCAACTCCAGGGGTGTACGGAGTTTGGATCCCCATAGGCCACAGGGGAGAAAAGTCCACTTGTCTCCTGGGGAGGCTCAATCATACTCTGCCTGTGAGTCAATCATACTGTTATTAATAACGATCTCTTATTGAGCAAATGTGATATATCTCACACACCAGGCAAACTTTTTGTCCGAATCCTTATTGGGATACTGAGGAAATTAGGCTCTGAAAAATTCCATAACTGGCCCAGGGCCAGAGGGTAGGCAGTATTGGAGCTGGGATTCAAATGTCTGGTTTGGGGGGCTCCAAAGCCCAACCTCTCACTGGTAAGAAGGTACTTAGTCTGGTGTCCCAGGCTGCCCAAGGAGGACCTTGGGCAGGGTCCCAAGAAAGACCAGAAATGGGAGGAACCTTGCTGGTATGGCTTATGGGATGGGGCTCACAGTTTCTCTCAAGGGTTTTGAGAGCTGGCAGTTTTCAGGGGGTGAGTAAATGTAGTTACACTGTTGACAGAAACTCTGAAATTACTGGTTTTCATCCGTGACTCAGCAAAGAACATCCTAAATCTTCTTTTACTTCCTAGAGGTCTAGGCAATCTTTCCTACATTCTCTGCTCTCTCTTCCACCTCACCTCCAAGCTCAGTGCTCGGACAAAGAGCAATTTGCACCTGCTTCCTTCCTACCCCACCCCCAGTCTACCCTTACTCTGACAGTCTCCCATGATCAACGGCAGAGAGCAGAGAAATAGGCGTCTTCTGGTTCCTCCCCCACCCCTTTACTTTTTCCGGGTACCCATGAGTCAGTTGGGGGAGGGCATCTCTTACCCTGGTTGATAGTTCTGTGACCTGGGTCTACCTACTGAAGGAATTCTGCTGGAAAATGGAACACTGTAGGTTTCTGGCTGGCCTGATACTGGCTGTCCTTCTCTCCCAAGGTAAGGCTTCTCCAGGTGGTAGGGGCATCTTGGAGAAGGGACCTGAGAGGGACGTTAACACCTGGACTGAGCTCCACTTGAAAGTCCTTCTCAATGCTAGCTTCACTTCACCAGGCAGAGTTGTCAAGGAGGGCAGGGTTGGGATGTAGCACAGGGTTTGGGCTTGGGAAACAGGCTCTTGGCTTTGACTGAGTCCAGCTAGGTGAACATGTTGGCCTTGAATGTCTCTCTAAAGGCCTTAGGCCAGAGATCTGCAGGAAATGTGCAGTCTTTGGAGGCCTGAGCCTAGGGCTGGTAAGGGAGCACTATTCCTTAAGACAGAATCTCTGGGATCTAGGACTCTTAGTCATTTGGCCATCATTTGTCACAACCAGGAGCCATGGCCCAGTACTCAGGGGGATGTTTTAAGAGAAAGTTAACTTTAGGTGGAGAAGGAAGGAGGGTAGATCTGGGGTGGTAGGATGATCAACTCATCTTGGTTTGCCTGGTGTTAAAACTGATAGTGCTTTGTCCCAGAAACCCCTCAATCTCAGGCAAACTGGGACAAATGCTTTGGGATATCCAGGATTTCCAATGGAAAGAGATCCCCATGGAAAGCATGACTGTAGGATGTGAAGCATCTGATGTACATGTATCTTCCTGAGATATACTCATATAATCTTGGCCTGCTTGAGACACATGAGAAACAGCTCTTTTGGGGATTTTCCAGAGGATGTTCTTGTATTCAAATTGGTAACTGAATATGAATTCAGGGAAAATCTGGATTCCACCTTTCCCTGGGATTGGAGACACAGATCCCCTCTGTGGGCTATGCAGATGCTCTCAGTCAAAGCAATCCAGGGGATCTAGAGAGGTGCTGTGCATACCTCCAGCCCTTAAGCTCCCTATAAGTCTTGACTTGTATGGAGCCCCAAGAATGAATTTGATAAAAAAAAATTTTCTACCTCCCTCCCCTTAAGCAAGGGTAGAACAACTAAAAATCTTTACATGAGATTTGCCCCAGGTCTCCTTCTGGAATAATTCATACCGGCTTCTCTCCTACTCCAACCATCACTGGTCCCGGGAAAGACTTTAGTAGTGAGAGTCCCATTTTCTTGGTAGTTGGGGCAGGGGCAAAGAGGGAGGGAAAAGGATGAGAATTTGAAGTGGGGGTTTGGAGATGGCTGGGAAGGAGAATTGGAAGTTTTGTTGGAGGGGCGCCTGGGTGGCTTAGTCAGTTCAACGTCTGCCTTCGGCTCAGGTCATGATTACAGGGTAAAGGGATTGAGCTTCTCGTGGAACCCCTTGTTGAGCCCCTCCTTGGGCTCCCTGCTCAGCAGGGAGGCTGCTTCTCCCTCTGCCCCTCCCTCTACCTCCCTGCTCCTGTTGTCTCTGTCTCAAATAAATAAGTAAAATCTTAAAAAAAATAGTTCTGTTGGAGAACAAATGTGGGCATCTCCAGCCAAGGAACATTCTTCTGCCTTTCCATATCTCTTGGGTGCTTCAGCAGTCTATACTCCCCTTCTACTTCTAATCAGTGGTCTGAACTCATTTCCAGGAAGGTTCTTCGATCCGCCCGGCTCTACGATTTCCTCTTTTGCTCCATGTCCATCAGGGTCTGTGCTCTGCTCGGACTGAATCCTTGCATCCTTCCTGGCCCCTGCAGTTCATGGGGAGCCTCCCAAAGCCTTTTTCTTGTGACTTCTGTCTCTCTCACTAGAAACCATAAATTGTCCTAGACTTAGAAAGTGGTCCTTTTTAGGTATAAACCTCAGCAGGATAAGGCATGTGCTGCAGACCAAAGAGCTGGCTGCAATCATGGTTGGGTTTTGTTGTTGTTGTTGTTGTTTTCCCTGTAGTGAGCCCCTACAAGATAATCGTGGAGGAACTTGAGGACAAGGTGTTCCTGAATTGCAATACCAGCATCATTCTGTTAGAGGGAAAGATGGGAACACCATTCCCACACGATAAAATTTGGGACTTGGGAAAACGCATCCTGGACCCACGAGGAATGTATAAGTGCAAGGGGACAGATGAACAAGACGACAAAATACCTTATATGCAAGTATATTATCGAAGTATGTGCCTTCTGGACCCTTTGGGTTGAAATGAATGGGACCTCTGGATATGAGAACCTTATAGCCAGAGGGGACTATGGTGGACCCACCTGTTCTCTAAACAAAGTGGAGGTCACTCTTATAATGGTATGAGCCAGACTTTGGAGCTTAACTAATGGAAAAAACAACAGGGGCCTTATGACTCAAGCAGTAGAGGCTTGGTTGGGAGAGTGGTTTGGCCCTGCTGCCTTGTTTACATTCTTACAAAGCTGATACTGCTTCTTGGCTCTTCTCAGGGATTCCTTGGGATTAAGGGCAGAGGGGGATGTAGCCAGGGCATCAGCAGTCCTTTCTCCAGGTATCTTACTGCAGTTTAGGTCTTGGTTTGAGGTCCTGGGGTTGCCCTAGGAGGCAGCGATGGTTCCTGGTCTTGAAGGCTCTCCAGCTCTCCTCTGGCCCCCCTTCCCCTCAGTGTGTCAGAACTGTGTGGAGCTGGACTCAGCCACCCTGGCTGGTATCGTCATCACTGACATAATCGCCACTCTGCTCCTTGCTTTGGGAGTTTATTGCTTTGCTGGACATGAGACTGGAAGACTCTCTAAGGGTAAGTGGAAGGGACAGAGTGTGTGTGCGTGTGTGCATGCACATGTATGTTGTGGGTGTGGGTATGAGTGTGCACCTGCTAAGAACGGGGCTGGCAACGGGTTGTGTCTCATCTGGGAGTCACTCTCGCATCTCCTAAGGACTCCTAAAACTGGTTCTTGGAAGACTTGTGCCCATATTGCCCATGCAGACTTCTGAGGGTACGACCAGCTGTAGTCCTCCTGCAGTGGTCATGGGGTCTCAGTGTCCCATCCTCCTAGGCCCTTGATGACTCTTTCCCCCTGTTCCTTCTAGCTGCTGACTCTCAAGTTCTGTTGGAAAATGACCAGCTCTATCAGGTGAGCCGTAAAGGGAAAGAGACATGAATGGGAGGGGGTGAAGAGCCTGACGCTAGGTGTTATGTGTACGGATGAAGGGTCCTAGTGGGGAACTCATCACTGGCGGGGCTGGAAAACTCAGGCATGGGCTCTCATCTCTGGGGCCTACTGGGATCTTCCCTGGAGAACCTGACCCTGCCTCACTGTTCCCTCTCACCTCCTAGCCCCTTCGAGATCGGAATGATGCTCAGTACAGTCATCTTGGTGAAAACTGGCCTCGGAAGAAGTGAACCTGAGACCGGTGGTTTATGGGAGTATCGACTGTACCTTCTTCCCTTGCTCAGCCAATAAAGATGTCTTCTTTCACTCAGCAAGTGCCTGGA